TGCATTTCATGCTGATCCATATATTCACCATCCACTATCAGTGAAGTTATTGGTGCTCACATAAAACTGCATCAAATTATAATTCAAGATTCTTCAATGATCACCATTATTATCCAAGCATTATCCCAACCATTTTGGATCGACGAAACGTATCCTATTTCACGATTCTGCCCACAGGTTAAGTTTTTATGAAAAGATATGTCACCATTTTAAGCTGGTTGCTTACTTAACTCAACCCTAGTGTATACTGAACCATCCAAACTCCCTACCTAACCAAATTAAAGCTCTTAAGTATGTCAAAACACGTCCTTTCATGCAACTAAGGTTCCCCCACATTAATATCTTAACCACCACTTTACAATGTATTTTATTGCCAACGTGACAACCAATCACAACTTGTATAGGGTAGCAAAATTAGCCAAGACCCAAATTTGGGGCACATGGGTGTCTTAGCCATAATGCATCAAATCATTCCTTAACAAACCACACACGGCAACCCGAGCACACTTGCTCTCAAAAAATCAGCCCCTTATTGAATAACATGTTTTATATGTATGGTTTCCATGCCTTACACATGTCTACAGCAACATTGACGGAGAAACCTTCGGCTCAGGGTTGTCAAGCAATGAGCCAAACGGAAAGGAAACCTCAAGGAACCCAAAAAATCTATCCAACCCCTTTGGACATTTTTTGTTTTTTGGATAAGAATGAATGACGCATGTACAGTTACGACTATAAAAAACCCTAAAAAATAACGTCTGTTTTAGCGACAAATAGAAGGTTGGTGTCCTCATCAACGTTGCGGGTAGGGCATGTCCATGCCCTAAGTAGTTTAAACACATTTTAAGGGCCACAACTCTACAACTCATGAATGTGACAATGGAAAAAAGTAAGAGAGAGAAAATCATACGAGTGAAACTCTAGAGAGAGAGAGTTCAAAGTGAGGGGCTTCAATTATGAGGCCTCGCTATCAAGGGTTACAAAGCAGGGTAACTACAAAAACTCGCCGCCAACGGTTCCGGTTCCCATGCCACGTGTCAAGAACTTGAAAAATGTACGACCCACATTGATGGAGGGAAGGCCACGATCGTCCTGCTCTCACCGTAAACGGCCAGGATTATGGATTTCTTGGGAAATGGGCTTGGGATTGCCGATGGCGGGAAAGATAGCTGAAGTTCCACGTGTCATATTCGTACGTCCACGTCGGCTTCGAAAGGGTAGGACTTTAACGACGGTACATTATATTTTTCTCCGATATATTCCCCAACTACTGGATTCTTTATTATTTACTGTGGGCCCCATGTGGTGACGTGGATAGTTGGCGACAGCTGTTTTATGCTTGGTGAATGAAACGTGTGCGCCGATATTCTTGTTTTCCGGCCTTCAATGCCTCAGTCCTGGGATACTAACAAAACCTAGCACGCGTGAACACGTGGCGGCCCGCAGCGCGTCAGGGTCCGGACCACCACTAATAAGGCAGCCTCAGTTCTACTGGCGCCATGTGTAACCATATGACGTGGCATTATTTGCACGTGCGAATTTGGCTCCACGCGTGAGAGAGGTCGACGTGGCTCGTTGAGTCACAGCGAATCTCAGTGACAATCATGGATTAGCAATTTGAATTCCGGTCAATTAAAATAGGGAAAAGTTTGTATAGAGCCTAGGCTCTAAACAATCAAATTAGAGCCCATCTCGAAACTTTCATTAGAAGATGTTGTTTTGATACCCAAATATCATCAAATTGATCATCTCGACATCAAGATGCACAGACATGAGAAAAAACCGGATTTCAAGTTTTGAAAATAATGCACGCATATTTTGACCGTCAATTTTCAAGATCTTCATAGATCTACTCAATTTACACTATTTTTTAAATTTTAAATTTTATAATTAAATATGAAAATATATTTTAAGGCTATTATAAAAATTCTCAATATTAAAATCATATTTCTCAATACTATTTGAAGGTAGGCTCTAATTTGATTGTTTATAGCCTTGGCTCTTTACCAACCGCATCCATTAAAAAATGCGGGTTCCACATGAATGGCCCAATACGACTTACGAATTGGTTACTCATTGTCATTCTAATCGGTCACTCAGTATTAATTCTATCATATATAGGACATCGTCTGGGTCTAAAAGACAACTGATGATTTGCTACAGTAAAATGACCTACTGCTACAGTAAAAATGGCGTTTGGTATAATAAAACTATCAATTCATCGATTCGGACCAGTTTTTGGCCGATTCTGTCCATATATAGCAAATCGTCCAGGTTTAGAAGAAAACTGACGATTTACTATAGTAAAATAGCATTTTTTTATGGTAAAAATAGTGTTTTGCTACTATAAAAATGTTGATTCACCGATCCAGACCGTTTTTTTGCCGGTTCACTGTTTTTACACTTTTTTTTTGTTGTTTCACTATTTTTCCATCGAGTGAAATGGTGACCCAAACCGATTTTTTGTCAGTTCAATGTTTTTACACGGTTTTTTTTTTGTTGTTTCACTATTCTTTCCACATAGTGAAATAGTGATTCGGACCATCAATTCACTCATCTAGACCGGTTTTTGCGATGCCCAATCCTAGTCACCGATTTATTTTTTAAATCATCAGTTTTTACACTTTTTTTTTGCCGTTTCACTATTTTTTTGGCATAGTCAAATGACGATCACTGATCCAGACTGATTTTTACGATACTTGATCCTAGTCACCGATCCATTTTTTAAATAACTGATGTTAACCATTTATGCTGAGAAAAGTGGCAGCTGCACTCCCGTTTCTGCAGCTGAAAAAGTTTGAAGATACTCCGTAAAACGATTTTTCAAACTCCTTAACCCAGAAAAGAGTTGGATAGATTACACCAATGTCTTCTTAAATTATAAGTAAACAACCATTAGCAAGTCATTGTTCTCGTTCTTTAGAGACATGGGGTACAATATGTGGCACACCATTTGAACATCAATCGTCCATTGGTGACAATTGATGGTGGATATTGACAGTTGTTTCCCATAAGAGCCTTTCTAGGAAAAAATAAAGGGTGAAGCATCTTGTCCACCCCTTATACAGGTCCGAATCGACTGGATTGGTGATCAAGATCGTTCTCAAATAGTCTAAATTGGTGATCCAAGTTTTTTAAAAAAATAAATAAAATTAAAATAGAGGTTTATAAGGTGGGGATTTAGGTGAAAACAATAGAAAACATTACATAAGTTTAAAAAAAGAAAGAAAAAATGAAAAGGGAGGTTTTAAAAAGGACTGGTCCAGGACCTATACCATTCTTGAATTGGTTCAATTCCAACCGATTATGCATCCGAATCAACGACCCGGATCGAAAATCGCCGGGTTTTAAAGCACTGCATCAAATCAATGGTATTTTGTAACGTAACGAACCACCTCTGGTATTTGATCGAATATTGGACGGACAAGCCGCATGAGGACATAAGATCGTATTAGCCTAACTTGCTTTTCGTGTAGCTCTATCTATATACAGAGGACTAAAATCCATTCATTTGAAACTGAATTGTTGTGAAATAATATTTCAAGACATATGAACCTTTCTAATAAGTTTTATGGTGTGTGCACGCACATTATCAAACGTTTGAGTATTCTAAACGTGGTTCAAATCATTGTTTTAAAATCTGGTATTTTTTTTTTTGTAGATCATTGACCTAGATGGGAATCAATTGAGACCAAACTTGTTCTAGTATGGTATGGATCCTAGCTCAGTTTTCCCCTATAACACCTCACAATACATTGTTTACTTTTTTTTAAGCATACATTTTTTTTTTCTTAGATCCCCTCTAAATCTGTACTTCATAAACCTTTTTTTTAATTTTTTTATTTCGTTTATTTTTATTATGTTTTTGGATTTCCATTAGGACCAATCCAGAGTTGATCCAATCCCCCATCCAACAATCTGACATGTAGGTTAACAATTTGCCCCACTAACCTGGGCTCTAAAAAACTAGTTCAAACACTACAGTGGCCATTCTTAAAAAAATGATGAGGAAAATGAGAACTTGTCCAAAGTTTACTCTTAGTGGGGAACTATAATAGTCAAAAGTTGTTTTAAGTCGGGGAGGTCTTAGTTATTTGTTGACAACATTAATAAAGATTTAACACTTTTCTTATGGGTAGTTAATAAATATTAACACTTGAAAAAGGAAAAAAAAAAAACAAACAAAATGAACAAAGATAGTAAGTTATATGCATGCATAAAAAAGAAAAAATAGCAACCTACAACATAGTCAATACTAAGTTGGTGTTTATGCAATATTTTCATATTGTCTCAACAATGAAAAATCTGCTAGAGAAAATTTTCGATGAGCAATGGGAAATACTTCAAGTTAATTGAGTTTGGAGAAGAATAGCATGTTTCATTCTTTTGATGTTTTATTACTAAGTTTGCTAAACTTTGAAGTTGGGGCTCATGGGAATGTGTTGATTTAATTTTTTTTTTAAAGTAAATTTAATTTAATCTTTGAATGGTAAAAAGCTCAGTAGTGGAGAATTGAGTTTGCTAGGAAGATCCGGACCTTTCATATCTCATACTATATGATACGTATTGGTCACGTCATGCTTGGGAGTATTTCCTCATTGAAAACATAATATCTTGGGAGGGTTCATGCACAGGCACAATCCATAGTCACGTTGGGTCCACCACCCAATTCTTTTTAACAAATTTTCTTTTTTTCCGCATTTAAAATGACTTTTATGTTTATTTCTTCAATATATTTTTCATTCTTGTAGTAAAGATAAGAGGCAAAGACCGATCCGAGGTTTAGTTCCAATTCCATGGACTGTTTTAACTTTTTAGTGATCCCAAGACTGGAAACACTCTCTCCCAATAAATTATATAATATATTTCTTGACAATAAAACAATGATAAAGAGTGTTTTGTTGACCTTGAAAATATAATATATTAATAAAAAGAGTTAAAATCCACACTTGAGAGAATCAATACAATTAACCCACTAAATAATTAAAATACACCCTTGAGAGAATCAATACAATTAACCCACTAAAATTTTCCAATTGCAACGATTAACATGTAAGCTACAATGCAAAGAATCCCATCAGTAACATAAGAAAAAAAAAAAAAAAGTGTGGAAATGGAAAATTACAAAGTAATCATCTCGCTCTCTCTCTCTACACTTGAACACTCTCTCTACACTTGAAACACACTCCCTTCCCACAAGAGCCTCTTTCTCTCTGTCTACAAACTGTTGCCAAAACCAAGTATTATTGTTGGTGCTGCCAAAACCAAGTATTATTGTCCTCAATATTCCACAAATTATCGGTGATTTCTCCAGGCCCACAAACCCAGCCCGTATGCTCAAGGTCCGAACCCTGATTAACGTAAACAGGAGACGTGGTCTGAGTTTCGGCTCCGTACAGATGTGCAGCCGAAATATCGTTGAAAAAATAATCCGTTAAATCCGAAATCGCCGAAACATGGGGGCTTTCGTCCGAGGATGAAACACTGGTGCAACTTTCGTAAGAGGGCATTGAATTGGATATCTGGGTGATCTCGGGAGCATGGTAGAATACGGGATTGTTGTTGCTGGGGGCCGTCGATACTTCCGATGGACGGTGGCCAGCGCGAATTCGCTCCAGGAGGCGAGGCATCCAGATATAACGCATGGTGTCCTGGAATTGTTTGCTGTTAACGTCGCATTGGAGCTGCTTTGCGTGCTTCTGGACCCTGGTTCTCCAGTAGTTTTTAATCTCGTTGTCTGTCCTCCCTGGTAAATGTTGGGCGATTTTGGACCATCTGTAAAAATTAGACAGAAGTTGGATTTTAGAGAGAAAGCTTGAATTTAGAGAGAGAGAGAGAGAGGGGAAATTTAGAGAGTTAATTTACCTGTTTCCCCAACGAGAATGGAGCTCGAGGATCATGAGTTGTTCTTCAGGAGTGATGTTTCCGCGCCTCACGTCGGGTCGCAAGTAATTGAGCCATCTCAATCGACAGCTTTTACCAGTTCGTTTTAGGCCTGCAAAAATTCATTAATTCAGAAATTATGTGACAGAATCATTAAATTACAGCATATAGTTGGTGCACACAAACTTCGAACTTCAATTAATTATCATTCTTACATGAAAATAATCATCCGGATGTTGTTTCTTTTGGGAGGAGATACAAAATATCTCTCAATGGGTATTACAGAAAACAAACTCATTTCATGCAAGCTTATGATAATAATTCGTTTTCCTCCACAAGTGAGAGAGGATTAGCCACGAACGTGATTGATCCTATTGTGTATGTGTGTGTAAGAGAGAGAGAGAGAGAGAGAGAGAGCGAGAGAGAGAGAGAGAGAGAGGGAGGGGAGTCTCCATACCTGCACATCGGGCAAGAGAATTCCATCGTCCTTCGCCATGGTTAGCAATGTAATTGACAAGGATCATGTCTTCCTCCACGGTCCATGGCCCTCTGCGAAGCTCCGAGTCTTCGTCAATGTGCGGCGAAGAGTTGCAGGGTCGGTTTGAGAAGTCCATGGCCGCCAAAACGAAAGTCGAAGGAGTTTAGAGAGAGAGAGAGGGGGGGAGAGGATGATGAGAGAGAAAGCGAGGTCTTGATGCATTTGAGATGGGGCAGGGGGTTGCATTTATAGGGGAACTTCATATAGCAAAGCCCCATGTGAGAGAAACCCGTCGTTAAGGACAATATTAAGTTAATACTAAACTATATATTAATTAAGCAAAGATGCGTGTGATGGAATTCTAAGTTTGACTTTCTTATGGCATCCATGGGAACTTTGTTTTTCAGCGTGTTTCTTATTTTTTAATATATCCTTTTTACTTTCCTTTTGTTTTTTATTTAATAATGCTTAGCAAGGGAGTTTAGTATTACGAGTTGTCTTATTTTTTTTGGCTAAAGAGAGAAGCCTAGCGTGCTATTTCTTTGAGAGACAACCTACTTCTAAGTTCCAAACCTGAAATTTTAGCAATTTCTTTCTCTCTCTCTAGGCTGTTAGTAAAATTTTATCTCTCTCTCTAGAGTGAAACTATTTGGGTAATTTATGGGGATAAATCTCCTTAGATATGCATTTTTAGAGAATATGAATTCTCTTTGCGGTATAATAGCAGGTTGGGAAAGGGGCGAGAGGACCGTAGTGCTAGTACCCCACATATTAGTTATCGTGTTTGGTTTTCATTCTCATCAATAACATCACTTCACTAATACTTTCAAAAAGCTAACTTTTAATGTACTTAAAAAACAGGTAGAGCATGTCTTCTCCATTGAATTACCCAAAAATAATAATAATAATAATAGGCTTGTCTCTTAGTGAAAAAATTTTAAGACATCCTCTCTCTTTAGTTTGCTTTGGGGCAACAAGAAAAAATGTTGGGTTAATAGGTTTATTAATATTTAATAATCTGAATTTCTTAATTTTTTTAATCATATCTTCTCAATCATAGCATTATTGAACATCTTTCCTCTCCGAATATTTAAATTTTATTGAAAAAATAGAGGTCTATTAGCTAATTTTCATAAATAAAGCCCATTTCGTTATTTACGTGTCCTCAACAAGTATACAGAATCTCGTGTCTTTTCCACTCTCCGAATGCATTTGAGCGTCTTTCTTCCCTGTGGATTGGACCCGCAAGGCAACATCCTTTATTAAGAAAAGGTTTGAAGCCCCAGATTGGTCCCAAAGCATTACTTCAAATGACAAAAAAAATAAATAAAGACAACAACCAAATCTTCCTTTGTTTTTGCCCTAACCATGCTTAACTTAGTCTAACATAATTCCTTTCCCTTGAGTGTTTCTTCTACTTTTTAAAGTATTTCATTAGAGAGGACAAACGTGTGAGAAAGCAACATAAGTGCGAGATCTTGTTGCGTGTAAAAGCTGGGCTGTTATCCCGGTAATAACGACATAAAACCCTTGTGATCCCAATATACTTATTTTTGTGGCAATGAAATATTCAAAAAAAAAAAAAAAAGGAAAAAGAGATACTAATGGCCATATATGCATAAGAGTGGAATATCAAGGGAAAACCCCATATGCACGCATCTCCCTTGGTAACTCTAATACTATTTATTTTTACATTTGTTTTGGATTAAAATATAGTTTATCTCTTAAAAAAATAAATAAATAAAAACCGTTTTAATAGTATTGCCCAATATGTGTCGGTCCGACAAAAAAATGTCACACAATGTGCTGAACTGGCTTCTCACACTCAAATTCTGTCCGTATAGTACAAAATATGTCACACTGACTTATATTAAAATCGCTGACGGTATAGCATAAATCTCTTAGAGAGAGAAAGTAGGAATATATGGTACAAAATGGAGGCTGTTTGGTAAAAAAACAAGTCGATTTTTTTTTGCCTTCGGGGTGGGTACGACAATAAATAGTATTTGAAATTTGGACTACACTATTATTTTTTTTTGGATGAGATGCCTAAAAAGTCTAATTTAAGGTATCTATAATTTCTCAAATATCAACTAGTTTCTCATAATTACATAAAGATATTTTTGGATTTGGATGAAGATGACCTCTCTTGATAGATAGATTTCCTTTCTTTATTCGTTTCCTATCATTTTTGACAATTCGTCACAATATACGAGTTCAAGAAAACATAATGCCGTAATTTCGTGTTATACAAATAAAGAAAAATATTTATTTTCTTTTTAAGATCGAGATGGAAGCTTATTTCTAGTTTTTCCTTATCTTTTAAATCCCTAAGTTTTTCATATTTCCCTTTTTTGCGTGAATTTTTGTAAATGTCATCTTGCCTACATATTTATATTTTAATAAATAAAATCTAATATTTTTAATAAATCAGTGGAAACTACTTGAGGACTAAAAAATGCTCGTCAATATTCTTAAAGGACGTCATTAGCAGTGTAATTCTACTTTTGCTAATTTATTTAATTCAAATTCTGGAGGGGTATTTTTTTTTTTAAAGTAATTCACTAGGGAAGACAAGCCTCTACCCATTTGTTTGATGGGGTGTGGTTTGTATAGGACCAAGGCTCTAAACAATCAAACTAGAGCCTATATTCAAATAGTATCGGGAAAAGTGATTCGAATATTAGAAATTTTTGTGATAGCCTTAAAATATATTTTTATATTTAATTATAAAATTTAAAACTTTAAAAATAGTATAGATCGAACGTATCTACGACAACATGAAAGTCTTAAATTTTGACAGTAAAAAAACGGGCTACGAGACGCACTATTTTCAAAACTTGAAATCTTTTTTTTTTTCTCTTAATACATGCATCACGATAACGAGATGATCAATTTAAAAAAGCCTAGTAATAAAAAACAACTTCTTCCAATGAAAATTTCGAAGTAAGTTCTAATTTGATTGTTTAGAGCGCTGGCTCTATATAAACATTTCTCTTTTTGCATTAGTTAGTGGTTTTTTGAAGTAGCAATGGAGGCCAGAAAGTACACCCGGCACTCTGGAGATGGAGATGGGGGTGCTTTTAGTCATTTCGAAAAAAGAATGCGGCTTCCCGAAAAAAGAACCACTTGTCAAATATCAACACGTGTTCACTAAGCCCTTGAGATATCTCATAAACGCAAGCACGACCGGGCATAGGCGGTGGAATTTGGGCAGGCAGAGAGAGAGAGAGAGAGAGAGAGGAGTTTGAAAGGAAAGGAGCAGTGCTTTTTCAAAAGGACAACCCGGGTTTTCAGGACGTGGGTCATGCCTACAGTGGACGGTGAAGAAAAAAAAAGTATGCTTCAAACTCCTTGTATTCCCCTTTTTTCTCTGTCGATGCCCCTCTAACCTTCTGAAACGTCTTTGACCCAACCTTGAATTCCTCTTATTTTTTTGACCCCCATTAATTAATGGGTGTGGTTTCTATAAGGCTGAGGCCTTCAACAATCAAATAAGGTGCGCTTTCAAATAGTATCCAAAGTTTACATTTTAGAACCGTTTTTTTTTTTTATATGATGGATTGAAACTTTATTTTCATTTATAATTACTTAAAATTGCTAGTTTAAAAAATAGTGTAGATCAAACGGATCTTTGAATACCGAAAAATCTTGAAAATTAACGGTCTAGATAATGCATTTCACGAAACACTATTTCAAAGACTTGAAGTCCATTTTTATTTGCGTCCATGTATCTCAAACTTGAGACGATCGGATTTTAGGGTTTTTCAGCATCAAAACAACTTCTTCTACTATTTTTTTTTAAGACGCTTTAATTTGATTGTTTAAGGCCTCAACCTTATATAAATCTTTTTCTTAACCAATTATATTGTCAGACCCATCTGCCATTTGAACCCACGGTCAAGATCTTCACAAACATTCATCACCGTCCATTAGTTTAGGCTCCCATTATAGGGATAGGGAGTCCCTAGTATTTCTCTATGTATATTTTAACTCCTCTGTTTTCAACCTTCCATTGCAAGAAGTAAGTCTTATAAAATTTATACAGCCGCCAAAAGCAGCCTTCGACAAGGACAAGCACAATCTCTTTTTTCTTGACCCATGTTTTCCATTCTCTCTCTTTCTCTCTCTCTCTTATCCATAGTCAACTAAAGCATAGGTCGTATTAAATAAAGTTAATAGTAAATTAGACTTCTTAGTATAAAGCTAAACGTGACTGTGTTGATCTCTTACTCTACCCTCATTCCAACAATTGTTTATTAGGGTGTGTTGTGGGATTACAAGGCAAGATTTATGATAAGCTTTTGGTTAATGATTTGATTGTAGCCCATTGTCTTTGTTTCCCTTCTCTCCAACTTTGGTCCCTCTTTCTCTCTCTCTCTCTCTCTCTCTCACTCACATTTTCGGACTTTTCTTGTTAGGAAAAATCATTTGCGTGGATCTCGAGGTTATCTAGGGGCGGTGGCAGGATGCTAGAGAGAGAGAGCGTCTGTCCTTTGCTCACGTGTTTATGACACGTGGTGTTCGATAGAGAGAGAAGGTGACGTTTCTTGTTGCTCTATGATACTCTTACGGAAAAAATTTATAAAAGATATCAACCTACAAGTAAGGTGCATATAAAAAGAAGCTGGAGAAGATTGTTTGTATTATGTCTTGAAGAACTTGAAGTCGGTCATCTCGACCTCAAGATTAATAGACATGACGATTTTTACTATTCAAAATAGTTTACCTTCTAACAAATCATACCGACCGTCAATTTTTAAGATTTTTAAGGTTTTTTAGATCTACCAAATAGTCATCATTTTTTAAATTTAAAATTTTATAATTAAAAGAATTTAATAAAGCATATTGAAATTAATATAGCCGATCTTAAATAATTATAAAAAAGTTGTGATGATGATGAATTAAGAGAAACGATAAATTTTCATATCATTGGAGGGGCTTTGCGGCACTTTCGGCATGGTTTTGAGGTAGGGCTTACTTCAATAGTATAAAGTTGTCACCTTATACAATCTTCACCCTACTTTGAGTATTGGAGTTTTGTAGAGAGAGAAGGAGAGTGGGTGGGTGACAGGAGACCAGGGGTCTCAATCCCTGGAGTTGTGTCATGGATATAAATCTAGCACATGTCAAATGAACGGATGATGAGGTGGTGGTGGCTAGGGTTAGGGTTTTCTCTCTCTTGCTTTTCGATGCTGTGACAGGACGAGGTCGGGGTCTTTTTAAGGGAAAGGACG